AGACAGAGATCACAAGTAGGCAGAGAGGCAGGCAGAGAGAGAGAGGAGGAAGCAGGCTTCCTGCTGAGCAGAGAGCTGGATGTGGGGCTGATCCCAGGAGTCTGGGATCATGACCTGAGCTGAAGGCAGAGGCTTTAACCCATTGAGCCACCCAGGTGCCCCAAGGCAATTAATTTTAAATGAGGCCATATGGGTGGGGCCCTAATCCAGTAGGACTGGTGTCCTTATAAGAAGAAGAAGAGACAGGTCACCTGCGTGGCTCAGTTGGTTAAATGCCTGCCTCTGGCTCAGGTCATAATCCCAGGGTCCTGGGATTGAGTCCCTTGTTGGAATTTCCCACTCACAGGGGACTCTGCTTTTCCCTCTGTCCCTCCTCCATGTTTGCACACAAGCTCTCTCTCTCTCTCTCAAATAAATAAATAAAAATCTAAAAAAAAGAAGAAAAAGAGGAAGAGACACCAGGGGTACGTCCACAGAGAGTGAAGGTCCTGTGAGGACAGAGTGAGAAGCCAGGACAGAGGCTTAAAGCAAACCTATCAATAATTTGATCTTGGACTAGCATCAAGGACTGTGAGAAAATAAATTTGTGTTGTTTAAGCCACCCAGTCTGTGGTATATTATTATTGCAGCCCTAGGAGACTACTATACGGGGGAGGGGGGTGCAGAGTCCCCCCGTCTTCCTGCTGCCAGGAAGCAGCTCTGCTCCAAGGGCTGTCGCTGTCTCCAGGAAGGCACAGCAGATGGCAGTGCTGTCCTGTGCGTTTGCCCGCTGCCGGCCTGTCAGGCTGTGCGTCTGGCTTCCAGAACTGAAGGGCCGGAGATGTAAACTTCAAGGTCCAGGCTTTTTCACTGGAAACCAAAACACTTTTGTCCTAAAGCATATCTACCGATCTTACCTATTTATCTCTCATCTTTCTACCTATCTGTTGAGCTGGGCTTCACAAAAGTAAATGAGATCCTGTTTGAAAGGAGAAATAAGGAAACAAATTCTCAGGCATTTGGTGTGCCTACGGTCTAACTCCCTCTAGCTCACTGATGACGGATGGCTATTTCATGCAGTGAAGTGGCAGAGTTTGCTTCTGGAACCTAAACCCTTTCCATAGTTTCCTTGGAGGCTTCTGGTCCTACAGCTCCCCGGCTCCCCTGGCGACTAAGACCTCAACATCAAAATGGAACACATAGCTGGTCAGCTCTGTATTGACGTCAAGAATACCTTAGTTTTCCAGTTTCCAAAATTGGGTCCTTATCTCTTACTCTACTGCCTGTTTTCAGCAAAGTTATAGAACTAAAACTGTCCTCTGTTCTTCATGAGGCTCTTAGGAGTGAAAACTTGTCCAATTTGGAAAGCAGGTGGCTAGCACGGCCTCCTGACAGTCTGCTGCTAACTGAATGTTCCTTTGCAGATCCATAGCAGGTAAGAATGGACACGTCCCGAGCCCCCTTCTCTGTTTACACATACAATAAACTTCTCCCATACTTCAGGCCTTACTTTCTGAGAGCATTTATTCTTTTTTGCCAAGCCAGAATGCTTTTAAGAGATCAAAAGATTTTTCTCTAGAATATGATTACCAAAAATTAGACAGAAATTTACAACCTGAGGATTTAGGCAGTGTCTACAGGTGACCATACAGACAAATAGCAAAAGCAAAAATACAAGGGAACTATCAATCCAAAACATCGTGTTCAACGAATACTCACAATTTACTCCTGTATGTAAAGGACTACCGTAAATGAACTAGTCAGATACAGAACTGGCCCAAATGAGCATCTCCTCTGGGCTTGTTAGGGGTCCCACAAATATCTAAGGTAAGGATCAGTCTTTTTGGGTATACAAATAGACGAGTAGTTCATGTAAACCACTGAGCAAAAAGACTAAATTGAAAAACTTGTTTATGAGGATTCTACTTGGGACTTGTATTAATAAAGGCAGGTAAGGGGCCATGGTTAAATTACACATAACGATATAAGCACTATTTTTTGGAGTTTTTTGGAAAATAGTTTATTAGATGCTTGAAATAGAAACCTAACCTTCCAAAAGATGTTTGTGACTTCATATCCTCTTGGATTTACATTGCTTTGGCCAAAACTTGACAGAGGTTGGAATTCCCTAAACTGAGTTCCTCAGCCTTCTAATTCTCTGGACTATTAGGATTTCTTACGAAGAAGTGTTCTGTGTTCAAATGTCAGGATATTAACTATACTTCTGATTTCTGTAACTTAATGCTTTCACATCTACAAAATGACCACTGGTTATTCCCAAGTCAACCCTTGCTTGCTTAAAACATCTGGAGAATTTAGGTGCCCCCAGACCATCTCCTCGCATAGTCACAGTAAACAAGGGTTCCAACTTAGCTAGCCAACCCTAAACCTGTTTATGCTGCCTTGCCTAGACCTTTCTGAGGAAATCATAATAAAGGTGCTTGGCTAACAGTTCTGCCCTCTCTCTCTGCTTCATGACCCTTCCCAATGGCCTTGTATGGTGTGCTGTGTTCTTCCTGGGGAACTGTGAGCATTATAAAACTGTAGAAATCTTTCTAGTTTCTTGTTTTGATTTGCATCCGGCCTCACCCAAGTAGTATGGTTAAAACAACATTGTAGATTAGGAAAAATCAAACATACTTTACCACAAAGCCCTTGGAGTTGTTAATATGTAAATGCACATCCTACATTTTTAGTATCAAACTTACTTGGCTTTGGAATCTTTCTGAGCAGTATATCTTATGGAACTGGCATTTCTGGGATCCCCTTTGGGAGGTACTCTTCTGGAGAGATACTGATTATCTGTCCAGGAGGTTTTGTGTGTCAGTATTTTCTGAAGATGAAAATGCACTGATATCATTGTAAAATGAAATCAAACATTATAGTTTAAGGAAAGCTCAATTCCCATATGAAATTTGGACTTGCCCTTCACCAAGGAGTTGGCACAAAGACACAAAATGATAATATTTGAATGAACTCACACCAGTTGTAGAGTCCATATATTTTAAAATGTATACATCTATTACCCTCCCTAATCTTTGAATAAGGCTTTTGTGCATAAGACAAATGCTTGTGAGATATCTTCTCATGTGCATTCATTAGGCTTCTCAGTCTCGACCTGTCTAAACGGAACCAGTTGTCACATCCCCATTCTACTTTCCTCAAATGACATTTCCATTTATCCATTCATTCTTACCAGAAACCCAGGAATCTGTCAGTCCTTCTCTTACATAGTATGCATCCATCACCAAGGAACTACTTCCTTTTAGCATGTTTCTTACCAGATCTAGCTGTTCCATCTCTAATACAGAGATGTCCAGACCTTCATCATCTCATATCTCTCATTTTCATGATGTCCTAACTAGACTCCCTTTCCCTCATCTTGTCCCTCATCAAAGACTTTCTTTCATGTTGATACCAATGTGATTTTTCTAAAGCACATTCCTGATTATGTTATTCATTTTTCATAAACTACCTGCCAGTTGATTTGCCGTCATGCTATGCAAAATGAAGTCCAAAGTCCTTACTCTGGCATGACCGTTTGTCTACTGACTCCCTCGTGCTCTCTTTTCCGATCTTCTCTGGAAATACAGATACAACTCAGTCATATTAATCTGGCAGCTCTGCCCCTAACATGGCAGACTGTGATGTGTCGTGGTACTTTATTATCTTTTGCCTCAGATCACCTTACTCTTATCAGTGACCCAACAATATCTATTCACCTTTGAAGATCACACTCAAGAGTGTCTTTCTCAATGAAACCATTCCTGGTTCCTGTCTCATCTCTCCACAATATACACTCTACAGAGTTTTGTTATACTTACATGTTCACATGTTTGTTTTTCCCTACTAGATGGTAAATTCCTAGAGGTAAAAGCTTGTGTATTACTAATCTTAAAATTTCCAAAGCCTGACATAACACTTGACATATTGATGAGTGTTACACAAATGCTGTTTTTAGTGACAGGACCATCATTTCTTTTAACACACAAAATAACAAACTATGTGCTGTGTATTCCCGATTTTACATCATGTATTACTATGATTGAAAAAGTACCTCCTCTAAATTAATGACCTGATACTGCTTCCTCCTTTCTAGTATGATTGGAAAGTGAAGAAGAAACACATATTTCTCTTTGGAATTTTTCCTCAAATTTTCCTTTGCAGAGCAATAGATCTCATCCTTTGTCTTGAAATCCCAATCATTATGAATATTTTTAGAAACCAGAAAAAAGAAAAAAGATGCCCAGCTCTAATTTTTTCCTCAGAGTAAATATAGCTGCCTAAGCAACTATCCATGATAGTACCATGAGCATAGAAGTATTTTTCCAGTCCTCCCATTTCAGATCCTTAGCGGGGCCAGGAAGGAGTGAAACCTTCCATCTGCCATGTTTAGAAGATTCAAACACAGTGGAACCACTTGGAGGCTTGGAAGAGGGTATCGGCATCTAAACTCTGGATTAACCAATAGGCCTCAATACTGAGACTCTGACAGAGAGTTACAACTATTTGCATCAAATTGTAGGAACAAAAAGGAAATATGAACATTTGGTTTCCTGAAAACACATTTCTTGAATTAATCTGAGGTCAGTTCTTGAAAATTTTAGGAACTATTCCAAATTGTTGATTGCTGAGAATTTTAGTCCTGGGTGAAGCTGATTAGGTATCAATAATCAATAAGGGTTTATAAAAAGAAAGCAGTCAAATTAACCACACTTAGAAACCATTTCCATCTTCAATTTCCTCTTTATTCTCTACTAGAATTGTTATAAGAGAAACATTTCTTTAAAAAATACCTTTAATGAAATGAAAGTAACATATTTTCAAAATGGGTGCTTCTCCATTTTTTCAATATGCTGGATCTTTTATGAAAACACTTTAGTCCGATGGATACAAAAGGCTTATTCCCTGTTCCAAAGATGTGTTGGAGGATATTGTCTGAGAAGTAGGAAGGCTAGGTAGGAGGCAGTAAAGGAGATGCTTTGAACTTGAAAGAAACAGAATAGGGCTTTAATACTTACAGCTGTCCTCTTCTTCAGTTATACATTTCACAACATAACAGGCGTAGATGAACCCTGCCAGCTGAAACAAAACAAAGATGCTTTAGACAGGAGGCAAAGGCAGCGGACTGGACCTCCCTGGGGGAGTGGCTTTCCAAAGGCAGGCAGTTGGTGACTAGCTAGATACAGTGCTCCAAAATGATGGTCCCTCATACTGAATCTTGACTCCGTTGTGGATTCTTGATTCAAGTGATGTCTATCTTCCTTGTAAATCTGTACATCGCTCCTTTTTCTCTGAGCTGCGTTTATGTGTAAGATTTGTTAACTGCCAGGCAATCTAAAACAAGTGATTTTAGGTACAGGAGAAAAAGTTATGGTCACTTATTAATGGGATAACATTTGCACTTGTGCCAATCAACTTCTAATTAACTTACGTTAGCCAAGAGCCTTAGATCCTAAAATTGGACTCTCACCGACTATTAGAAAAATGTTTTGAGGGATAAATATTAAGATTTTGTGGTATGCTGCACGGATGCTTTGTAAGTAAGAAAAGCCCTTATTTAGACCTGTACCAGGAACCAGAGCATATGAAACACGATTAGGATGACATGTTACAGAGAAGCAATGGGGTGGATACCTGTAGCTAAGACCTGTCACGATGCATTGAATTTGGGATGGCACACATCACATCATCCTTTCTGAAACATTCTGCACAAAGGTCTCTATGGTCGGAGAAGTCCTTGCTCACTGAAATTATTAAGGGGAACAGCGAAGTTCCTTGATATCTAGCCCCTCACATGGAGTGGTTTTGTATTTCTTCATATCATTGTAATATTTATTTAGTGAAATTGTGAGTGCTGGTGAAAATATGAAAACTTATATAATTTCCAGATAGTGGCATTTTTCCCAAAATATTCTTGCTTGGGGGAATCCTTAAAGGATGGAACAGTGATGAAGATTATTCTCAATGACATTTCAGGAAGGCATTGATCTGGATGAGAACTGACCATATATGTCAATAGTTGGGACACTATTTGGCCTGGGGAAGGGAACATCAGGAAATCCTGCAGTCTTCCTGCAGGAAGCTAAGGTAGGGCAAGAAGGAGATGCTGTGAGAAGCCCAATGAAGTTGTTTTTCATTAGCTGACAGATCTCTCTGGAAGATGTGAGTGGAACACTTTAAGCGAGAGGGTACGCTGATAGGTATTTAATGAGCGTAGTATTGTCTGGAGACAAAGAGGGGTCCGGTTAAAAGAGGAACTTTAGAAAATCTCTAATATTGGATTTGAGGGAGAAAAGCATATTCTGGCAGATTCTAGTTCTCTTCCAAAGAGAACCAGCTTGGGATAAAACAGTGGTGACCCTGCTTAGGGGAGGAATGGATGAGGAAGAAGACCCCTGCAAAATAATTTTCAAGGGCTTTTGTTTCTACATCCAGGTTGAGTGGGAATGTGAACTCCTGTCCTTTTCCACCCCCTGAATGTAGTTTCTGAAGCAGTACACATAATGGAGAGCTACGTAAGAAACCACTAATATATTAAGTTAGTTTTCTTAAAAAACAAACAAACAAACAAACAAAACATATCTTAGAAAAATCATCAAATCAGCATTTTTCTCTTTAAATTATATGTTGCTATGGGCAATAAAAAAGTGGTAGTAAGAACTCTTTCCTTATAGGATAGAATCATCAGGATTGTTGTTTTTACAGGCTTATGTTTAGAGGACAAGGTGGAATTAGAGATTTCGCTTCAGCTAAGGTTTTTTTTGATCAAACAAAATGACATAGTAATTTGAAATTTTCATAGGTACTGGAAAAATAGGCAATACTAACACTTCTTAATCTTTGATCCACCAGGATCCATGAAAATGCTCTAATCATGGAGTGAGTTGGTCCCCGGGTACTCTGTCACTAGTGTTTGCATCTGACTGTGGCTAGTTAAAGAGGCTGTGGCTTTGATTAAATCCCCTGGGTACTGCCTTTGCAGCTCCTTTCCTTCCTCCGTTGGAAGTCATGACCATCCTTGGCTAAATGCTCTCCATTTATCAATAATTTATCTCTTCTTTTCAGTTTTAAATACTTACTACTTGAATTATCTATGAAGCAACCTTTTCCCAGTCACAAACTTTTCTTTTGATTTTCACTCATCACTTCATTACTTCTAAATGAAAGTCTAGGTAGAGAGCCTTGATAAATTCTGAGATTCAGGACCAATAAATTTAAACTTCTCATTAAAGTGTCACTAGATCCTGGATTATTAAGTGTACTGGTCTCCCAGAATGCAGCCAGGCACTGTATTCTGCTTACCGGTGATCTTTTAATTGTGTTCGGTTGCATTCTTTAACTATCGGGGAGTGCCTTTGATATAAAAGTAAATCCTGCTGCATTTCATTACAAAAGCTTGCTGATTAAGAGAACTTTAGCTTTTAAATTGGTCACCTCTAAATACAAATGGAAATTAGTTTCCCCCCAATTAATCAAGACTCATAAGCCTTTGTTATCTTACATGTTTCCTATACCACAGAAATTTATAATTTAATTTTTACTCCATAGCAATTTATAAAGTTTACCTACAGAAAGAGGCTTCAAATCATTCGTAACAACTCTGAATGCTTCTTATAATGTGTAACTCCTGTAATTGCTATGTGGGCTGCAAAGACAAACTAAGCCAGAGTTTCTCAACCTTGGCACCATTGACATCTGGGTTGGGTAAACTTTCTTGTAGGGTTTGTTGTGAATTATAGGATGCTTAAGCAGTAACAGCCTACAATCAATCCAGTTGACAACTGAGACAATCTCAAATGTCTGCAGACATTGCCACATGTCCCTTAAAGGACGAAATTTCCCCAAGTTAGAGCCACTGTTTTAGATGCAGTCCTATCTTCAAGGAATGTGCAATTCTGTGGCTGGTATATGCATATAATTATAATGTGAGGTAGATTAAGGTAAGTGTTATGAGGAAGGGAGACGACTGAATGCGTACTTAGTGACAAACAGTGAACTGCATATTTTCATGCATTAGCTCACTAATTCCCACAACCACCATTGGAAGAATGTCATATGTATTTTTGTGGGGGAGAGATGATGGATCTTGCTTTTCTGGAGTATGTTCATCAAGTGGGAGAGGTGTGGGTTGTGTTCAGAGAAAAGCCTGTAGTTGGATCTGAGAATTTGGGGATCCCATACTAGAGCAATGGAAATAGAAGCTGGGAAGGCAGATTAGGGCTATGATTGGAAGGCCTTGGGTATGTATTAAATTGCAAATCTAACTATGTCATTTTCTACACAATACACTTAAGAAGCACCTCATCTTCATGGATAAAGAAGATGTGATATATATATATATATATATATATATATATATATACACACACACATACATACATACATACATACATACACACAAACATACATACATGTCACACATGTAAGGGAGAATTACTGAGCCATCAAGAAGAACGAAATCTTGCCATTTGCAATAATGTGGATGGAACTAGAGGGTATTATGCTAACTGAAATAAGTTAATCAGAGAAAGACAAACAACATATGATTTCACTCAAGTGTGGAATTAAGAAACAAAACAGATGAACATAGGAGAAGGGAAGGAAAAAATAAAAGATGAAAACAGAGAGGGGTGCAAATCATAAGAGACTCTTAACTCTAGGAAACAAACTGAGGGTTGCTGGAGGGGAGGTGGGTGGGGGGATGGGGTAACTGGGTGGTAGGTATTAAGGGGGGCACTTGATGAAATGGGCACTGGGTGTTGTATGAAAGCTGAACTCTACCCTTGAAACTAATAATACGGTATATATTAACTAAATTGAATTTAAATAAAAAATTTTAAAACCTCATGCACTTCAAAAAGATTAAAAGAGTAAGCTTAACCTTAAAAAAAGAGAAAGAAGCACCTCATCTTTTACTCATAAAGTAGAAAAATTTTCATGGAATACAAATCCTTCCTAATGTGATTCTTAGCTACCTCCTAGCCTCATTTCCCACTACTCCTAGTCTTGGACTTGGTGCCAATAGTAAGTAAGCTGTTGGTAGTCTGCCAATCTACATGAGGTGGTTTCATTCTGTTCTTTAATTCATTAACCCACTCTGCCAACAAAGCATATGCATGTCCTATACCTCCCTGCCATCCCTACTCACACTGGCACCTCTGAGTAACTCTAACTTATCCTTTAAGACTGAATTAAAGTATGGTGTCCCCGAAGAACAGGCAATCCATTCCCAGGATAGGTTGCAGGGTTGGCATTTTGGAAACAAGAGCTTGAGAAATGGGAGAGCTTTGAGAGGGAATAATGAGGGGAAAGGCGAGGATGTCTTTCAAGCAGAACTCAGGAAAACTCTGGAAGATGTGGATTATGCTTAAGGAGGAGTAAGCAGCCTGGTTTAGAGGACTTTGGGCGATGGGAAGACAATAATGGTGCACAAGTTAGAGAAGAGTAATCCATGTTGTCAAAGCAGATCCAAGTACATGGAATTAAAATAAAATTGTTTTATTTTCTTAATTTAAAGATAACTAGAATAATGATGAAAGATACAACTGGTGTTATATTAAGCAAACATTTAATTGTCCACTTATTTTAAAAAAATGAAATATTCCAGTTGTTTTAGTCTTTGGCATTCAAAGCAGAGCTAAGCCTAAATCTTTTTTTTTTAATTCATCTTTTCACCTTGATACATCTAATATGATTTGTTCATTTCTAATTCACCTGATAGGAAATTCATATCATCTTGATATCATTACTTGCTGAAAGGAAATCATATTTTCTCTCTATAACTAATCAGATTAAAATTCTTTTTTGTATCTGCAAACCAAATTATGATTGCATGTCCCAGAAACTCACTTAGAAGCTAATAGATAAGAGGAAACCAAAGCCTTTTGGTAAGTATTTAAAAAGATTCAATTGTAGTAATTGAAAATGTAACAACCTTAGTGTTTAATATACTATCTCCTGGATTTCTCTTTCCAGGAAGTTGGAGTACACATAGTTGTCCCTAACTCTCCCAATAACTACAACTGAAAAAACCAGGAAATTTTATGTATAATGAACATAGGAAGATTCTGAAAAGTGGA